ACTAGGAAAAAACACTTCTAACCTGCTGAAACATCTGAAGGTAAGTCTTTTTTATTATTTTTATTATAAACTATATTCTGTATTTTTTAAATCATTTATTTGGATATTTTACATTACAATACAAAAGTAAAATTAATTGGGAATTATCTCCCACCTTAGAGCATAGTTCCCTGTGCTGTGGAAGGTCTCAGTATTACTACATACGAACATAAGTATTTCATACATTAAAAAATGAAATAGAAATTAATATAGTTAAGGTTTTCTATTAAATAGATACTTAACAATAGGTACTGCGTAAAGTTAATTAGTAATTATATAATTACTTATAAAAACAAAGAAGCTTCTTGTACTAAATTATTATAAAATTTTAGATTGCACTCTTTATTATAATTTATCTAATTTAGGCTTAGGTTTTTTTTCGATTAATCATTAGTTACCATAATTACTTATGTACTATTCTCCTATTATTTATCATTTACCATAATTACTTATGTACTATTCTCCTATTAATCATTAATTACCATAATTACTTATGTACTATTCTCCTATTAATCATTAGTTACCACAATTACTTATGTACTATTCTCCTATTAATCATTAATTACCACAATTACTTATGTACTATTCTTCTATTAATCATTAATTACCACAATTACTTATGTACTATTCTTCTATTAATCATTAATTACCACAATTACTTATGTACTATTCTCCTATTAATCATTATTTACCATAATTATTTATCCACCTCTTGTTTTAAATTCAAATCAATAAAATACTTTTATAGACTGATTTCAATTGTTTTGCTTTATTAATTGTACGTATTTGTTCCGGAAGTGTATTAAAAAGTTTCGCACTCACAAAATGCCAGTGTCTAAGCCTTACTATTGTTCTTCTACTAGGGAACTCATACATACCCTTAACTACTCCCTTTGTGTTACCAGAATGATCTAACCACTTTACCGGGTGTCTCCCACCATTCAATCTAATCAATGAACTTTTAAAAAACATCTCCTTAATATTTAATATAAACAGCTGCTTAAACAGAGGTCTAGACGGTTCCATTGATTTCTTTTTAAGCATTACCCTTATTATATTTTTCTGCAGTATGGCTAACTGCATTTGTATAGTCAGCGGTTGCTCCCCAAGCAATGATTTCATATTGCAAAATAGGGTCAACTAATCCGTAGCATAATATCTTTAATTTATCTATCGACAAAGATCCTCTGACTGCTACAAATATGTATACTAACTTCCGCATTGTTTTCGTTAAATCTAATATGTGGGGCCTCCAATTTAAGCAGCTATCTTTAATGACTTTTTAACTTTATCTATTATGTTCACTTTGGAGCAGTTACATTTTGGGGGGTAGGATTGGGTACAGTTCTTTTCATGAATGCTCAGAGCCACAGGAGTTGGCTGGTCTATATTATAGCGCGAGAATGTCATATAATTTGTTTTTATAACGTTAGTGATTGTGCTCTGTAGTACTGAGGATCTTCTCCCAATTATCACCTGCCCAAAGCAGGGCTATATCATCGGCAAACACAATTAACCGTCCGTCCAGTGACAAGTTACATAGATCATTTATAAATGTAATACAAAGGACCGGTCCTAACATTGTACCTTGTAGTAAACTGATCGCTGACAATACCGATTAATTGAACCATCTATTCTGAAGGTAGCTTTTAAACCGATCTATTATAACTTCTATGTTGTACAACCTAGCTATGAATTTAGAGTGCGACACTGTATCGAAGGCTTTGGCCAGGTCCAAGAACACGACCGCCAGCTTCCTAACCTTGTCTAGTTGGTCAGTAATATATGTAGTTACTTCCGAAAACCTTGTCTAGTTGGTCAGTAATATATGTAGTTACTTCCGAAAACCTTGTCTAGTTGGTCAGTAATATATGTAGTTACTTCCGAAATACATATCGATTATTTGATAATTTATTATTATTTTCCAATAATTCTACTAAATTTTTAAACATTTTCTCCAAGACTTTAGTAAGATTTGACAATATTGAAATTGGCCTATAGTTGGGCAGTAGTTTTAGATTCCCACTTTTGTATATTGGGGTAATAACAGACATTTTAATATAACAGGGAATACACCATTATTTATATTTAAGTTCACTATATGTTTTATGGGTTTAATTATACTCTCGATATTTATCTTCAAGTATTTGGACAGTAATGCCGTCGTGTCCTGGACCTAATCTCCCCTTCAGTTCATTTGTGGCCTACTGTACATCCCTCCAATACCAGGCTGTCTCTAACCCCCTCCTCATCCAACCCTACCCTCTGACCCATCTTTTCTGCTATCTCTTTTCCTACTGCTGTAAAATATTCCCCGAATATATTTGCTCAATGTTTTGGATTATCTACTAAGTTAATTTCATTCCTATCAGTTAATTTGGTTATTGTATTTATTGGTGCAGCTCGCTTATTAATTGCTAAATTATCATTTCCCCCATTTTCTTGATGTTAGTGTTATTTTCCGGTATTTTGTTACAATAGTATCTATTTTTTACTTGTTTTAATAAGCTATTTAACTTGTTTGAATGTTTTTTAAATATTTTTTTTAGGTGTAAGTTAAATGTTTGCTTACAGGTTTTCTTAATTAATGTTTTCTCTTCTAAATGAAACCAGTAAACCAGGGGTTACCCACGGCTGTATTTTGAAACCAGTGAACCAAGAATACCCACGACTGTTTTTTTCGATACTTCGAGTTAGCAGCACACTGTGTTAGTTGTCGAGTGGTTTATAGCGAATGTAAATTCATTACAGTTACGAAGTTATTTGTGCTAATATTTACATCATTTTCCATTAACACCATATTCCTTGTTTTTCTCTAGAGATTTCCATTCAGTTGCGAGTAATTAATTATTTTAGTTTTTACAATTGGGGTATTTGAAGTACGTACATTAATTAATTATTTTAGTTTTTACAATAGGGGTAGTGTAGGTACGTACATTAATTAATTATTTTAGTTTTTACTATAGGGGTAGTGTAGGTACGTACAATAATTAATTATTTTAGTTTTTACAATAGGGGTATTTGAGGTACGTACATTAATTAATTATTTTAGTTTTTTTACAATAGGGGTAGTGTAGATACGTACAATAATTAATTATTTTAGTTTTTACAATAGGGGTATGGGATGTACGTACATTAGAAGTCTTGAAATCCATATGTACAAATGTAGAGTAATGATCCGCAATGTTGGTTTTAAGTACAATAGCTTTTTCGATGACGAGGAACCCACTTTGAGACTTCAAGCCGTCTCCAGCTATTATTATGGGTAATGAAGAAAAACTTTAATATAAGTTTAACATAACAGCAAATGTACAACGTTTCGACAAAGTTTTGATGATGTACCTCCAGCCATGATTAGTACTTGTCATTGTAAAACAAGAAAATTAGCGTGTGAAGAAGTACACCCTCTGGTGGTGGTAATGATTTTCATTTACCATTTCCTGTTGGTGTCCTTGCTCTCCAACTGACTTAGCACCCTAGTCCTTCCTGGAAAGAAAAAGTCAGGATATCTTACTGAAGTCTTGTTGTAAATCCTGTCCACACTTATCAACTCTTTCAAAGTCAATAAATAAAAATGAATCACTCTCTTTAGATGAGAATTGTACAAGACAAGTGAATTATCGTACAGATAAATTAATCAGTAGTTCAGAAAAGGTCTTCTAAATGAAGTAAGGATGCTATTTTTAACACAGCTCAGTTTCATGCGTTTGTTCCTTCACTGAGTTAAACTAGTACAGTTTTTTTTTAATTTTATAGCCAACGAACTCAACTGATTAAAACCTAATCTTTAGAAGCGGAGTTTTATTGCGTTTCTGTTTCTGAGTAACATTTTTATTAAAGAGCTGTTATATTAAATAAGAAAAAAATTAGTACATGTTTATGATTGATTCACAAGGGCGCGCGAATCGAAGAGTGCCGCGTGAAGTAAGAATTTGTTTTTTTCTGAAGTTTCGGAGAAAAAAAAATGTTTAAATTATGAAAAACAAATTAAATAATGTCAGCAACGAAAATAAAACATACAGCTAACTTGTTGTGTATTCCAAGATCAACGATAGAGTCTGGTAAGTTGTATGTTTCTTTGGAATTAAGAACAAAGCTACACAATGGGCTATCTGTGCTTTGCCCACCACGGGTATCGAAACTCGGTTTCTAACGTTGTAAATCCGTAGACGTACCGCTGTGCTACTGGGGGGCGGTAAGATGTAAAGAAAACAGTTGCAAGATATCCGTAAAAAGCTCA